AATTTTTTTTAAAAATTGGTTTTTAGAGGATATATTACAATGATTCTCCTTGATGGAACTGAATGTCTTGGGGCTGGGTGCGATGGCACACAACTACAATCCCAGTGACTTGGGAGGCTGAGGCAGGAAGAGGCAAATTCCAGGCCAGTATGGGAAATTTAACAAGACCCTGTCTCAAAATTTAAAAAAAGGGCTGAGGATGGGTTGGGGTTGTTAGCACAGTGGTAAAGTGCTTGCCTAGCATGTTTAAGGCCTTGGGTTCGATGATCCTCTGCAACACATAAAAATAAATAAGATAAAAGCCCATCAACAACTAAAAAAAAAAAAAAAAAGGCTGAGGATGTAGCTTAACAGTAAAGTGCCCCTGGATTTATTCCCCAGTGCAAGAAAAAAACAAACAAACAAAAAAACTTGGGGATAAGTTTGGATCTGCATTTTGGGGTCTTGGGTGTCTGAGGATTATCAATGAATCAAAAAGGAATAGTTACCCACCTCCCCATTTGTACAATATTCTTATTTATTTATTTTTTTTAACTTTTAAATATTTATTTTTAGTTTTCAGTGGACACAACATCTTTATTTTATCTGTATGTGGTGCTGAGGATCGAACCCAGCACCCCGCGCATGCCAGGCGAGTAAATAAATATTCTTATTTATTATGCACCAACCATATATGTATAATTTGTGAGTTTTTTTTTTGTTGTTGTTGTTGTTTTTTAAGAAAGGGTCTCACTAAATTGTCCAGGCTGGCCTTTAACTGGTAATCTTTCTGCCTCACCCTCCCTGAGTAATTGGGATCACAAGCCTGCACCTACACTCCTGGCTCAAAAAGCATTATAAAAAACATCATATTTTCTTTCTTTCTTTCTTTTGGTACTGGGGATTGAACTCAGGGGCACTCAATCACTGAGCCATATCCCTAACCCTATTCTGTATTTTAGGGTCAGAGTCTCTCACTGAGTTGCTAAGTGCCTCCCTTTTTCTGAGGGAGGCTTTGAACTCATGATCCTCATACCTCAGCCTCCAGAGCTGCTGGTATTACAGGCACATGCCACTGCGCCTGGCTTCTTTCTTTTCTTCTTCCTTCTCTCTCTCTCCCTCTTTCTTTAATCAAAATGACCTAACTTAAAGCCTCAGCACAGCTGGGTGTGATATAATTTCAGCCATTTGACACAAGGATTACAAGTTTGAGGCTGGCCTGAGCAACTTGCTGAGATCCTGTCTCAAAACAGATTGGGCATGTGTTCAATCCACAGTACCTCAAAAACCAAAAAACAAAACAAATAAACAAAACCCAGCACCTCATGACAACCTTTTAAGGTAAATAATAGATGTTAACTGTGTACTCCATTGTCTTTTTAAGGTAGAAAATTAAAAATCCATGCAGTCAGTAATCCTGCCACAAGGTCAATGAGTCACTTAAAGCAAGTAAGGAAATCTGGGACAGTCAACATTCAATGGTGTGCTGGAGCAGAGGGTTTGGAAGAGCCAGTGTTAAGTCCTCTGGAATTCTGTGAACAGGTTATGAAACCTTTGGTAACTTGAAACTGGCCATGGTCAGGGTATTTACAACATAGGTATTGGCAAAGACTACTAATCAGATTTCTCCTCTCCCAGCCTCGAGAGGTGGTTGTTAAACATTGACCAGCATATAGTACTGGTCAGTAAACTTTCTCTAACATTATAAAAGGGAAAAATGTGTCTGAATAAAGGGAAGAGCACATCTGCTTAAGGGAAATTAGGAATCACATTTATTGAGGGTGACTATATCTAAGGGAGTATGCAAGTGTCTAGTTGAGAGCACAAGAGGGCATGAATGTGAGCAAGGGAATGAGTGTGTATAATTTAAAAAAATATATATTTTATTTTTTAGTTGTAGATGGATACAATATATTTATTTTATTTTTATGTGGTGCTGAGGATGGAATCCAGGGCCTAGCACTGCTAGGTGAGCAAATAATTACCGCTGAGCCACAACCCTAGCCCAAGTGAGTATAATTGAAGGAGTCATACAATGGGAGTCTGGAAGGAAGGGAGGAAGCAGGTAGTTTAGGTGGTGGTGTTACTAAAAGCTCAGTCTTGTTCCCAATGCCAATCCAATAAGAAGGACAAGGATTTGAGGAAAAGGAAAAAGATAGTTTATTACTTTCTAGTAAAGAAGAAACACAGGGGACTCCTATCCCAAAGGCTGTGATTCTGCCCATCATGGGGAACAGGGTTTTTTAAAAAAGGTGATTCAGAGATAATGAGATGGTGGCGGGGAGAGATCAGGGAGGAGAAGATTAGGGAAAGTTCTGGGAAAAAAAAATTTAAGTTCCAAAGCAACAGGGATATAGTCCAAACATCAAGTGAACCCCTGTTACAGTGTCAGTAAATAACTGAGGGACTGTGTTTCTGTGTTTGGGGTGATGTAAGAGTATGAGGATATGAAATCAGAGTGTGTAAATGAAGAGGGTTCACTGAAAATTATAGGAGGTAGGACAGGCACTGTGGTACTGTAACAGGGGTTCCACTTGATGCTCTGACTATATCCCTTGGGGCTTTGAGACTTACATGTTTTTTCCCCCCAGTCTTCTTTTCCCTAACCTTCTCCTTCCTGATCTCCTCCCTGATCTTCTTTGATATTCTTTTCCCTAAACTTCTTCTCCCTGATCTTCTTTTCTCTGACCTTCTCCTTTCTGATCTCTATCCCCAATCTCATTTTCTCTGAATCACCTCTATAAAAACCCTGTTCCCAATGATGGGCAGAGTCACAGCCTTTGGGACAGGAGTCCCCTGTGTTTCTCCTTTGCTAGCAAAGCAATAAACCTTTTTTCCCTTTTCTCAAAATTGCATCCTAGTTATTGGATTGGCAGGGTAGGGGCTGCATCCCCAGCCCCTACTCAGCTTTTTTCTGGGACAAGGACCAATCCTTCGAAAACAGTACATGCCTGTAATTCCAGCAACTTGGGAACCTGAAGCAGGAAGATCAATAGTTTGGAGGCCAGCCTCATCCATTTGGCAAGGTCCTGTCTTAATATAAAAAATAAAAAGGCTTGAGAGTAGCTCAATGGTTAAATGCTCCTGGGCTCAGTCCCTAGTACCCCTCCCTCCCAAATAAAAATTACAGAAGGCCACTGTTTTTGACTAAACTCCTGTATAGGTTATAACAAACCAAGCTAAAAATTAAAATGGAGTTGCTCATGATAAAGTTTTATATTATCAAGGTGAAACTAAGCTGTTTGTCTGACCTGACAAATCAGGTTTAGGTTGATGTTAGCACAAATTATGCGCAGGCCAGGTTTGATAATGAAGTTCCTTTTGCTTTAATCCTTTTTTCTCTCTTTCTCATTCCCCATCCTCTCCCTGCCAGCCAATTTACAATCTTGGGTATTAAACCCAGGGGCACTTTACTACCCATCTACATCACCAGCCCTTTCTGTTTTGAGACAGTGTCTCACTAAATTGTCAGGCTGGCCTGAATTTGAGATTCTCCTGCTTCACCTTCTGGAGTTACTGTGCCAGGCCCCCTCTCTGCCTTACCTCTATACTTGGCTACAAGGAGAATACAAAATGACCAATCTGCTTTTTATTTTTGCTTCTCCTTTCTTCAATCCCTTCTCTCTGTAAAACCAACCTCCTTAGTTGTGACCATGAGCAATACTTTATTTTACAGGATGAAGAGTTGCCTCAATAGTCATTTACAATCCTTATAATTTTATCCTTTGATTAGGGCCAAGTTTTTAAATTTTTTTTTCTTTTTTAGTTAGCACTGGGGATAGAACTCAGGGCTGCAGTACTACTGAGCTACATCCCCAGCCCCTACCCGGCTTTTTTGAGACAGGGGCTCACGAAATTGCTGAGGTTGGACTCAAACCTTTTGACCCTTCTAGAGCTTAGGCCTCCTAGTCGCTGGGTTTACAGGCATTCACAGCAATGCCTGATTAAAAAAATTGATCTTATTACTCCTTGGCAAGGTAGACTATGCCTGTCATTCAGTACTGGAATGAGGCAGGAAAATAACTTGAACCCAGCAGTTCAACACCAGCTTAAGCAACAAAGTGTAACTCTGTTTCAACAGCAACACAAAGCATCTTCCTTGTTAGACTCAATAACGCTATCAAAATCACCTAGGCAGCTTTCTAAACACAAAAATGACAGATTCCACCCCAGACGATGAATAATAATAACTCTTTACTTTTGTGCTGGGCATTGTACTTAATACTTTATTAATTTCTCACCGTCCTAACTTAGGTGTTATTCTAGTTTTACAACTGTGGATAATGAAACACAAGAAATAATGGAAATTGCTTTGAGTTACTAAACTTTATGTACTGGAACTGAGCTGTGGGGCAAAGCAATCTGACTCTAGAAGTCAAGTTAACTGTAAGGCCCTCCCAAATCAGAATTTCTGCGTGACATTCTAACAGGTTAAGTTCCAGTAAAGTGGAATGGCTTCTGGCTTTTGCTCAGAATGGAACCTTGGAAGGTCGACGTAGTGTCTGGCATTTAGTAGGTGGTTCTGGAGTACTTCTTAATACAGGGGCACGCCTGTATTCCCAAGCACTCAGAAGGCAGAAGCAGGAGGGTCCCAAGTTGGAGGCCAGCCTGAACTACTGCGCTAGGCAATGCCTCACAAAATAAAACAAAAAGTGGTGGGGATGTAGCTTACTGGTAAAGCGTCCCTGGGTTAGACCTCCAGCATCGGGGAAAACAACAACAACAAAAAACCTGGTTCATTTATAACTTTATCAGATATTTTTTAAAAGTCAGAGGAAGATTTATCGACCTCCATGCAGTGGAGTGGTAGTTGCGGGAACTCCAGGACCTGAGGCGACAACGCGCACAGGATGCGGGGAGCAATACGACAGTAGACGGGATTTTCAATCGGCGCTCGTCAACCCTTCGGTGCCATGGGGGCTTTGCGGATTTTTGCCACCAGAGTAAGGCGGGGCCGGTCCGTGGCAGAGGGAGACCCTTGGCGCCGAGGAAGGAAGTGGGGCGTCACTTCCGGCGCGCTTGGATGACGCTCTGCCGGGGCTTCCGTGTTGGAGCCGGCGGCAGAACCCAGGACTAGGAGACGTGGGGTCCCGGTAGCCGGGTGGCCCGCGGGCCCAGGGCGGGGATGCACCGCCGGGGCGTGGGAGCTGGCGCCATCGCCAAGAAGAAGCTTGCGGAGGTGAGGGCGAAGAGGTCGACCCCAGCCCAACCCTATCCCGTGAGAAACTGAGTTCTCTCAGTGCAGAGTTCTGTACCCTTCAATCGCCTCGCAGCAGATACTAAGACAGGCTTTTTGGGCTCTGGGGAACCGAGTCTCTCCAGCTCCTGGTGGATTGACTTGTCAACATCCCCAGGTCCACTAGTTCTTTCCCGCGTTTCCTCAGTTTGATCACAGACAGAAGCCATCGACTCTATTCCCTCACCCCGTTCTTCCTAAAAACACTTTAGAAAGAGACCTTTCTCTTCTTATAACTCCAGCGGAGGCAGCAAAAGTGGGAGTCCCCACAGCCCACTTCCTCAGCTCATGTTTGTTTCTTTGTCTGACAGGCCAAGTATAAGGAGCGAGGGACTGTCTTGGCAGAGGACCAGCTGGCCCAGGTGAGTGATTGGAGGGCTTCAGCCAGGGAGGGAGACGTAACAGGGCTGGTCAGGACATCATTGATGTGAACTACATTGTTTAGATTGAAATAAAAGTAGAGTGTCTGGCAAATCCGGATTTCTGGGCTGCTATGATCTTTTAGGTGACTTGCTAATAATACTAGCTAACGTTTTTGAGTGATTTAAATGCTTATACAGTTCCAGGCACTTGTCTCTTAATTTTATATATTTGTTAATTTCGGTGCTGGGGTTGAACTCAGGGCCTTGTAAATGCTAGGTTAGCCCCCTACCACTGAGCTACATCCCCAGCCCTTGTCTACTTTTTTTTTTTTAAAGAGAGAGAGAGAGAGAGAAAGAGAATTTTTTAAAATATTTACTTTCTAGTTTTCCGCGGACACAGCATCTTTGTTTGTATGTGGTGCTGAGGATCGAACCTGGGCCGCACACATGCCAGGCGAGCGCGCTACCGCTTGAGCCACATCCCCAGCCCCTCCTTGTCTACTTTTTACATATGCCATCTTGTTCAGTCATTAAAATCCTATGTCAAACTAAAATTAAAAAAAAAGAAAAATCGGATTCTCCAAAGATTACTTACTGATACTTATTGGGAGTAGCACTGATTGGGAATATACATGCCACAGTTAGTTATGGCCATATACAAACAGATTGAGGCAAAGAGAAGTTTATTTATTTTTTCTTTCTTTCTTTCCTTCCTTCTTTCTTTCTTTCTGTTTTTTTTTAACCAGGAGTTGAACCCAGGGGAACTCAACCACAAGTCACATTCCCAGCACCACCCCCCCCTTTTTTTTTTTAATGTTTTAAATCAGGGTCTTGATAAGTTGCTTAGGGACTCATTAAGATGCTGAGGCTGGCTTTTATTTTTGATACCAGGAATTGAACTCAGGGGCACTCAACCACATCCCCAGCCCTATTTTGTATTTTTTTTTTAAATATTTATTTTTTAGTTTTCGGTGGACACAACATCTTTATTTATTTATTTTAATTTTTATGTGGTGCTGTGGTTCTAACCCAGTGCCCCGTGCATGCCAGGCGAGCGCGCTACTGCTTGAGCCACATCCCCAGCCCTCCTATTTTGTATTTTTAAAAAACATTTTTTTAGATGTTGATGAAACTTTATTTTATTCATTTATTTATATGTGGTGCTGAGAATTAAACCCAGTGCCTCACACATGCTAGGCAAGTGCTCTACCACTGAGACACAAACCCAGCTCCCCTATTTTGTATTTTATTTAGAGGCAAGGTCTCACTGAGTTGCTTAGTGCCTTGCTAAGGCTGGCTTTGAACTTGGGATCCTCCTTGCCTCAGCCTCACAAGCTGCTGGGATTATAGTGTGTACCACCAAACCCAGCCAAAAGGAAGTTGTTTTTTTTTTTTTAAAGAGAGAGAGAGAGAATTTTTAATGTTTATTTTTTAGTTATTGGTGGACATAACATCTTTGTATGTGGTGCTGAGGATCGAACCCGGGCCACACGCATGCCAGGCGAGCGCGCTACCATTTGAGCCACATCCCCAGGCCCCAAAAGGAAGTTTTTAAAGATGAAAATGAAGAGGATTGCATTGTATATTTTGAAACAATAGTCTTGGTCACAATGATAAATAACAAGAGTGGCATCAGCCTGAGGTTGAATAGATAGCAGATGGGCAGATGTTTTTGTAGAAGTAGTTTTCATAAAAGTTTGTAGTGGACTCTGTGCAAGCTTATGGTTCTGACAACCTTTTGTGATAGTTTTTTTTTTTTTTTTTAATTTTTAATATTTTTTTTAGTTATCGGCGGACACAACATCTTTGTTTGTATGTGGTGCATGAGGATCGAACCCGGGCTGCACGCATGCCAGGCGAGCGCGCTACCACTTGAGCCACATTCCCAGCCCCTTGTGATAGTTTTAATCTTGTAGTCATGTATGAATCTATAGATGAATCTAAGAACTCTTCCTTTATAGGCTCCCAGCTTATTATTTTGGGAGTAGAGACACAGTGACTCCATTTTGATTTTGACAACTCAGATTTGATTCACACTTATAAAGAAAGAACGCAATTAGTTTAGAATTAAGAACATTGAGACACTGAGTAATTTATCCAATGTCACATGGGTTGTAAGTGGAAAAGCTATTCATTTTATTTATTTTTTATTTGTTCTAATTAATTATACATGACAGCAGAATGCAATTTATGCACTTTGATATATCATACATAGATGGGATATAATTTCTCATTTTCTGAGTGTATTTTTTTTGGGATGAGGTATTGCTCTGTTGCCCAGGCTAGTCTTGTATGCTTGGGCTGAAGTGATCCTTTAATCTTCAGAGTAGCTGGGGCTACAGGTATGTTCCCCAATGCTTGGCTTTAGAGTGATTTGATAAAAGTCTTTTGGGGCTTTTAATATATTATTTTTTGTGATGCTGGTCCCCAAGCCAAGACCTTGAATATGCTGAGCCTATGTGCTGTACCACTAAGTCACATCCCTATTCCTTTTTATGATTGATTGATTGATTGTGCTGCTGGGAATCAAACCCAGGGCCTTGTGCATGCAAGGCAAGCACTCTACCAAATGAGCTGTATCCCCAGCCCCTATTTTTTTTATTTGAGACAAGGTTTTATTAAGTTGCTTAGGGCCTCACTAAGTTGTTTGGCTGGCTTTTGAACTTGGGATTCTCCTGCCTCAGCCTTCAAGTACCTGTGATTACATGTGTGTGCCACTGTGCCCAGCTTCTGATAGTTTTATGTTGCAAATGAGGAGATATTGGACCAGGAATGGTTATTTTTGGAAGGATAGAAGATAGTCTTTGTGCCAGGTGCAGTGACACGTGTAATTCTGGTGGCTTGGGAGGCTGAGTCAGGAGGGTTGTAAGTTCAAAGTCAGCCTCAGCAACTTAGTGAGGCCCTGTCTCTAAATAAAAATTAAAAAGGCCTGGGGATATGGCTCAGTGGTTAAGTGCCCTTAGGTTCAATCCCTGGTACAAAAAAAAAAAAAAAGTGGAAAATGTGGGCTGGGGTAGATAGTCTTTGTTAATTAGGGAAAGTGAAAGAAGGGGTAATATAAATAAAAATTCATAGAATCCACAAACCTTATTGTGTTTGCTCTATATTCAGCTGCTCCCCCCTGCAATTTCTTAAAAAAAAAAAAAAATATATATATATATATATATATATATATATTAGTTGTAGTTGGACACAATACATTTATTTATTTATTTATATTGGTGCTGAGGATTGAACTCAGTGCTTGCACATGCTAGGTGAGTGCTCTACTGCTGAGCCACAACCCCAACCCCCCCATTTCTTTTTTTTTTTTTTTAGAGAGAATTTTTTTAATATTTATTTTTTAGTATTTGGCGGACACAACATCTTTGTTTGTATGTGGTGCTGAGGATCGAACCCGGGCCGCACGCATGCCAGGCGAGCGCGCTACCGCTTGAGCCACATCCCAGCCCCTCCCCCCATTTCTTTATGTGGAGTTGATCCCTAAGGAGATCCATGACTCAGGTTAAATAACCACTACAATCCTAATTCATGCCAGATTTCATTTTTTTCCTACCTAGCTTTTCATTAGTGGCCGAAGATTTCCCACTGTGGGAACACTGCATTCCCTTATTTCAAAGACAAAATGGATTATTAGATATATCTTCAATTTATTAACTTTTTTGGGGGGGGGAATATCACATTAGACATGCTTGTTGATTATTATTGGATGTATCCTGATTTTAGAACAGGGATACATGAAAAAATGTGTAGTTTAGAACTGAGGAAAAAGTACAGCATCTCACTTCTGACAACTGAGCACAAGTAGGGATAAAAAGAGGAGACAATAAACAGCATAATGGTAGGCCTGAAGGAGACACGTTATTTCAACTTTTTCCTTGCCACGGACCAGGAGCTTATTTTGGGCAGCTAATTATTTCCTGGACTGCTCCTAAGCTACCCCTTGTCCTTCCAACAGATGTCTAAACAGTTGGACATGTTCAAGACCAACCTGGAGGAATTTGCCAGCAAGCACAAGCAGGAGATAAGGAAGAATCCTGAGTTCCGTGTACAGTTCCAGGACATGTGTGCAACCATTGGAGTGGATCCTCTAGCCTGTAAGAAATTGTAGCGGTCCAGTGTCCTCATAGGGCTGCTAGGGACAGAAGCTTATCTATCCTCTAACCCCTTAGAAGGGCCTGTAAGAAGAGCCAGAGGATGTCATCTTTAGGGAGTACCTAGCAGGATGGCTAGTGCCTATTCTGCTGGGAAGATGGAAAGACTAGAGTGAAGAACAAGTAGCCAGGGCCCATAATTCTCCCTTGAATAATCTGTAGTGGAGGTGTTTTTGTTGTTTTAATGGCATTTCCCCCTATTTAAAAAAAAAACTATTTTTGGGGCTGGAGTTGTGGCTCAGCAGTAGAGCACTCGCCTAGCAAGTGCAAGGCCCTGGGTTCAATCCTCAGCACCGCATAAAAATAAATAAATAAATAAAAAGGAATTGTGGCCAACTACAAATAAAAAAAATAAATATTAAAAAAATACTATTAATGAAGGTAGTTTGGTCATATAGTCAACAAAGAGCTATATAAAAAAGGAAGTGGAAGTCTCCTGACTGTCCTATAATTTTGGGGGTAGGGGATATAGGAGATGAACCCAGAGTCTTAAGACTGATCCTGTCTTGTAATTGCAGAGGTAAATAACACTAATAATTAAACGACATAGATGGTCCCCATTGTAGGATGGTTCACCTTGGTAGTGCTACAAAAGCAATTGGTATTCACCAGAAACCATACTTTGAATTTAGCTTTTTCCTGGGTTAATGATATGTGAGTAAAATTCTCTTGGATGCTGGGCAGCATGAGTTTGATCAGAAGGGTAAATAACTGATACTCTACAGTGTAATGTGTTTCTAACCTATGACATTGCATAGGTTAGGTGTATTAAATGTATTTTAGTTTTTTCATATGGAAGATTGAATGCAGGGGTCCTTTTACCATTGAGCTACATCTCCAGCCCTTTTTTGTTTTTTTGTTTTGAGACAGGGACTCAACAAATTACTTAAAGCCTCACTAAGTTGCTGAGGCTGGCTCTTCCTTGAACTTAGGATTCTTCTACCCTGCTGGGATGACAGGTCTGCAGCCCTGCTCTGGGCTTATTAAATATTATTATTATTTTAAAATGGGGATTGAACTCAGGGTTGTTTTATATCCCCAGCCCTTTTTATTTTTCATTTTGGGACAGTGTCTATCTAAGTTGCAGAGGCAGCCTCCCAAGTATCTATGATTGAGGGCATGCTTAACCTGCTGACTTCAGTGGATTTTCCAATGCCAAGTTTGCCTATTTTTTCTCTTAGCCTTGTCTAGATTATATCTCCTACTATATTTCACTGTATGCTTTGGAAAAGGAAAACCACTGAACTGTAACCTCAGCCCCAAAAAGGACTTTGACATTGTCCACCCTTTGGAACTGTCTGAGCCTGTTTTTTGAGCAGTTCTCAAGAGGCAGGTTGTCTGTCACAGAGGATCTTGAGTAGCAAGTAGAGCAGGACTTAAAGCTAGGCAACAAGATTACTCGCAAAATAGATGTTTCAATCCACTGTTGGAAGAACAGATAGGATGAAGATTATTGAATAACTTAGCTTTTGTTTTTTTCTCTTATAGCTGGAAAAGGATTTTGGTCCGAGATGCTGGGCGTGGGGGACTTCTATTATGAGTTGGGCGTCCAGATTATCGAAGTGTGCCTGGCTCTAAAGCATCGGAATGGAGGTGAGGGCAGTGGTTAAGTTCGTGGATTGGGCATTGAACTTCTCTGAGTAGAAACCCTCAAAAGATTATCTTTTCCATCCTGTAGTCTGCAAACCTGCAAGGTCTTGAGATACATCTTAGCTGTTTTATGCAGTTGAATCCATGGCATGCCTCCACAGCTAAGGGTAACTAGAATTACCTGAATGATCATTTCCCACACCCCCTGCCCTCTTTTTGTTTTTCTAATAATGGGTGATTTACAACTGAGTTACATCCCAAGTGCCTTTTCTTTTTTTGAAACAGGTCTTTAACATTGCTGAAGCTGTCAACAAATTTGTGATCCTCCTATCTCAGTCTTCCAAGTTGCTGGGATTACAGGCTTACACTGCACCTGGCCAGTTGTCTGTTCTCGAAAGATCTTTGGCTGGGAATATCCAGTCCTGCCTCATAATAGAAAATAGAAGGGAGGTAGGAAGTAGATTTTGTCCCATGATGTGTGATGCATCTGGGTTATGATTTTTTCATTAATAACTACAGGCCTGCACTGCCTTTTTGAGGTGTAGGGATGCCAACTGAGTCTGCATTCCTGAAAATGTGATGTTACAAATAGTCATCTGATGGGGCTAGGGTTGTGACTTAGTGGTAGAGTGCTTGCTTATCATGTGTAAGGCACTGGGTTTAATTCTCAGTACTGTATATTAATAATAAAATAAAACTTTATCAACAACTAAAAGAAATTTATAATTAAAGTATTCTAGATTGGGTATGGTGGTACATGTCTGTTATCCCAGCTACTCAAGAAGTTGAAGCTGAGGAACACAAGTTCAGGGTCAGCTTCAGTAATTTAGCAAAGCCCTGAGCAACTTAGACCCTGTCTCAAAATAAAAAAATTTAAAAAGCTGGATTCAAGTGCTCCTGGGTTCAATTAACAGTACCAAAAACAACAACAAAAAAAACCAGTTATAAATTGTTGGCGATAAACAGACACAGCCCTTATATCAAGAACATTGCAGCCGTAAAGGTAATCTCTTCATCTGCTTTCTGTCTCCCTCTCCAACAGGTCTGATAACTCTGGAGGAACTACATCAACAGGTGTTAAAAGGAAGGGGCAAGTTCGCCCAGGATGTCAGCCAGTAGGTGTTGCCTTCCACCCCTTTTAGAGGTCTTTAAAGTCAGATGGAAATCATTTATTTATTCATTTATTTATAATAATTTTTGTTTTGGTACCAGGATTTGAATCCAGGGGAGTTTAACTCCTGAGCCACATCCCTAACCCTTTTTATTTTGAAACAGAGTTTCATTAAATTGCTTAGGGCCTCACTGAGTTGCTGATGCTGGCCTTGAACTTGCCATCTTCCTGCCTCTGTCTCCCTTGTCTCTGGGATTACATGCATGTGCCACTATGTCTAGCCCTAGATGGAAATCTTCTCCCTACTCCTCATATGTGTAGGCTAGCTTAGGTGCTGATTTTTTTTATTTTTAGTTGTCAATAGACATTAATTTTTATAATTTATTTATATGTGGTGCTGAGAATCAAACCCAGTGCCTCACACATGCTAGGCAAGCGCTCTATCACTGAGCCACATCCCCAGCCCATGATTTTTGTTTCTTAATTTTATTTTTTTCAGTACTACGGGTTGAACCCAGAGGTGCTTTACCACTAAGTTATATCCCTTTTTATTTTTTGAGACAAAGTCTTGCTAAGTTGCTAAAAGTCTTACTAATATGCTAAGGCTGTTCTCAAACTTTTCATCCTTCTGCCTCAGCCTCCCAAATTGTTGGGATTGCACCACCATGCCCAGTTGTGAACTGTTTTTATTGCTCTTTATGGTCAGAAAAAAATATATTTTCATATGAGAAAACTACAGAGACCTATTTTTTAAGAAAGGTGGCTGGGGATATGGCTCAGTTTTTGACCATATCCTTTGCATGTGTGAGATCCTGTATTTGATCCCAAGCACTGAAAAAAAAGAAGATAAACACACCTCATTTTGTCCAGGCACACTGGTGCATGCCTGAATTTCCCCCAGCTCTGGAGGCTGAGGCAGGGGGATGCTGAATTCAAAGCCAGCCTCAGCAACTTAGACCTTATCTCCAAGTAAAATACAAAAAAGGGCTGGAAGTATGGTTCAGTCCTTAAACCAGCACTTAATCCAGCTGAAGTACACCTGGGTTCAATCCCCAGTTCCACAAAAATCCAAAAATGAAACAAAACATTTGTCTCTCAACTAAGAGATTACAACTTGTATACATTTTGTGGTATTAGCATTTTTCATACATATGTATTGTTTAAAACTTAGGAGTATGTACATGGATTTTGAGATTATTTGAAGCCAAGGAGACAGATGTAGCCCTTAGAAATGCTGGGCATAGAGGGGCTGGGGATATAGCTCATTTGGTAGAGTGCTTGCTTCACATGCACAAGGACCTGGGTTCAATTCCCAGCACCATAAAAAAAAAAAAAAAAAAAGAAGAAGAAGAAAAAAAGAAATTCTGGGTTTAGAGATCAGGGTGATATAATGGGGTATATTGGCCTGGTTCACAAGCCTCTATGTTTGAGTCGAATTAGAGAAGAAATTTGTTTTAGATGTAGCTCCCAAAGAGCCATCCCAGAATGAGATTATAAAGATCAGGAATATTCAAAAAGGAAGTTATGACAAGATTATTAGCCATACTCACTGCAAATGAGGTGACCTAGTGCATTTGAGAGAGTATTTCGTGGGGTTTACTGGGGATTAAATACAGGAGTGCATTATCACTGAATACATGACCAGTCCTTTTTATTTTTAGATAGTCTCACTAAGTTGCTGAGGATCTGGTTAAATTTCTGGGTCTGGCTTTGAACTTGCAATCCTCCTGCCTCAGCCTCCCAGGTTGCTGGGATTAAAGGTGTATGCCATCATGCCTGACAAGACAGATTTGAATCTGCTCTTCTAAGGGGTTGGAGAAAGCATTTCAACCTACCTAAAAGTTCTCTATTCCTGGTTGATTAGATGATAACATTTCTAGGCTTTGGTAGCAGTTATAAACTTCAGTTTGTGGGCTGGATATATGACTTACTCATTTTATGCCTTTCCCAAGTTTGTTGTCAACTGGGAAATCGGAAAATCTGGCAATCCTGGGGTTGAATTTCTAAAGGACTGGGAAAGTAGCTTAGTTTTACAACGCTTGCCTATCATGTGAAAGGCCATGGGTTCAATCCTCAACACCAGAAATAAGAAAAAAAAATTCTCTACAGTTCACACTACTCCCTGTTGTCTTCAGCTACCTTATCCATATTTCCTGATGAGCTTCAGTATGCTTATTACTTTTTAGAAAAAAAAGTTATACATGACAGTAGAATGTATTTTGACATCATACATACATGGAGTATAACTTCCCATTTTTGTGGTTGTACATAAGGTCATGTATTCTATTTTTATTAGGGTGTTGGAATTAGTGGTTTGCCAAGTGTGCAATATGACTTCTATACTATCTTCCTTCAGTGTCCAAGCACTTTTTGGTGCTGTTTAACCTGCCATTTTACTGATGTAGTTGAGTGTTGTGTGCCCTTTGACTCTTCTCTCAGGGTACCCTGCCTCGGGCAGAGCTGAAACTGCATTGTTGTCAGGTCTTATCTGCCAAGGGTCTTTAAGCTGCTCTTCCTCACCTCAGAGACGACCTGATCAGGGCCATCAAGAAACTAAAGGCATTGGGCACTGGCTTCGGCATCATCCCTGTGGGCGGTACTTACCTCATTCAGTCTGTTCCAGCTGAGCTCAATATGGATCACACTGTGGTGCTGCAGCTGGCAGAGGTAATGGTGCACCCTTAGAGAGTGTGTGAGCTGTTATCTCTCTTTCCCCACTGCTCAGGTCTTTTCCAGACTGTCTTATGGATGAACTACTCAGTCCTGTGCTCATTCAGCAGACATTTATTGAGTAGCTACAGTGCAAAGCACTGGGCTAGGCTGTGGGGCAGATATAGAGAGAGGTCCAATGAAGTCCCTGCTCTCGAGGAGCTTACAGTCTAGTCGGGTAGACAGACATGCAGACAACTAACTATATTTCCTGGGGTAGACACTCTCTGGTGTCCTCTTAAGCTACTTTGTGGATTCTTCAAAACAAGTTTTAAAATTTTGCTTGCCAATCCTCTCATTCCTTGCATGCCTGAAGCATATACCATCTTCCCCCAGAACTCCATCATATATTTTAGGAAAGACATGTTCATTTCCTTAATTCTTTAATGCAAAATAAAATTAAGGAATGGGCTTTTTTATTAAAAATTTTTATTTTGGGGAACAGGTAGGATGAAGCAGGGCAAGAGCTATTTATAAATATTTTAGATTAACAGGTGATGATTATCACCATTGCTTCCGATCAGTTATCATTCTGAATCTTCCCTTGACATGCATTAGAGTTCTCTGCAAGTCTAATTTAATATCTTAGTACCTGGGACCCCACATATTAAGATCAAACCCACAAAACTACCCCTATCATCCTGAAAGTCACTTCTCTAAACATTCTTTTCCCGTACTTTCTCAGGATTGACCCAAGGGCAGCTCTTTCTCCTGTTCAGATAAGTGTGCTGGTCCTGGGCAGGTGCTGGGCTCTAGGGGAGTGCACTCTTAACTGACTCAGTTCTCACTGCTCCTTCCTTCAGAAAAATGGGTACGTGACTGTCAGTGAAATCAAAGCCAGTCTTAAATGGGAGACGGAGCGGGCGCGCCAAGTGCTGGTATGTGATTTTGGAATGGCCCAGAAAAGATGGGCTCCTGGTTGGGAGGTGGGTTCCACACAGGCAGGAACTTTAGGCTTTCTCTGCTCACTCTTGCCTTGTAGGCTACAGTTTTCACCCTAGGAGAAGCCCATCATCTCTCTGCTGAGAAGGTATAACTCATTAAGGCAGGCCTCTGACCCTGGGGTGCACTAACAGCAGCTGCCCTTGCTACTGGGGAACCACCAATGCCCACTTACTCTCCTGGACATACTCAGCCTGGAGTTGCTGGTCAGGAGTTTAATATAGTTTCTGCTGGAAATAACTAGTACAGAGTGAAGGGAATTAATTACTACTTATATATCTATAAGTATATACTAAGCAATATATTGCATATTATATAACAACTTTATATATATTCATGTACTGATGTAAGACTGTTGTGAAGAAGCAGCAGCAGCATGAGAATGTAGGAGCTCTGGCTTCAGTAGCTTTTCCCTTACCCAGGCAATTTAGTATCTAGATTTTTCATCTGTAAAGTGGGAGAATGTAAATATTGAACATACTTCCTGCATAGGAATAGGAACTGTGAGTCCATCGTAGAATAAATGTGGTCCCTCACATTTGTTCCCAGCAAATCAACTCACAGCTAGAACAGTGATCTCTACTTTTCTCCAGGGAGAATGGAAGCAGTAATTTGCTCAAGGCCATAAAATAAGAGCCCTGCGTTCTTCCACTACTTCCCATGTTACTCAGGCTCTACTATTCACTAGCAGCACAAGTTAAATGACTTGGTGGTTATTTTCACATTTCAGGCAAATGAGGCCAAGCAGCATCCCAGTTTGGTTGTGTAATGTGCAAAGGCACATAAAGGCTGTTTGAAAACCTTGCTGAAGCCAAAATAGGTCTGGAGATTGCTTCGCTACCACACTTTACCCACAGAACCTCCCCTCTCAAGCATTCTTTCTTTTCCCCCAGGAACACCTGTTGAAGGAGGGGCTGGCCTGGCTGGACTTGCAGGCCCCAGGGGAGGCCCACTACTGGCTGCCAGCTCTCTTCACTGACCTCTACTCACAGGAGATAACAGCTGAGGAGGCCAGAGAAGCCCTTCCCTGATTCAGTATGGAGGGATGCACAGTAGCAGGCAGTGAGAAAAAGGAGGAACTGTTGGTGAATAAACCTGGACAATTTTGTTTATAAAAGAAAGGTTCTAAGTTTTTCTTTCTTCCCCCAGTATTTTTATTTTTTAAAAATGCCTTCACATTGCATCTCTTTTGGAGGAAGCTTCCTTTATCCAGTAAGGGAACCTGAGTAACACAAGTACAGCAAGCACATATGACTTGTGCAGGTCATCTATAAGGTCATGGAAGAGCTGGGCCCAGAACACAAGCCATCTCCTGGCTACAGAGTATAGTTTTTTCTGTAGCCATAAAGTGAATAACAACTCTAATTCAGAACTCTTCATTATTCCATGCTCCTTATCACACACTAGCAGACCCTTGTGAACTAGTTAAGTCACTGATTCAGTCTCTCCTAGCTTTCTCTGTAGAGGACCTACATTATGACAGATCCAAGTCTGAGTGTGAAGGAAATGGTGGCTAAGCTGGAGGAAAGAAAACAAAACTTTGAGAATCAGACAATAGTGAACACTATGTTTTGGTCCTCAAATTCCCTGCTAGTTCTCCCCGTAGACTGAGTACCAGGTCCCTCTAACCTCAGTGGTGGGAATCTTACTGAATACCTACCCTGTACTGTCATATATTACACATTTAATCCTTACAGCATTAATAAAAATAGGTATCCTTAACTTCACAGGTGACAAATCAAAGTAATTTACCAGAGGTTATCAGCTTAAGCAGCACCAAAGAACTGGGTCTATTAACCAGAACCCACGCTTTCCCATATCACTGCTTTGCACAGTACAGGCAAGCAGAACATTATGTGTACAATGCCTTCTACACATGTGGCCAGCCAAGAGGAAAAGCCCATGTGCCCCAGGAAGCAAGATTCTGCTATAGCAAGGATGGTGATGAGAAACCAAGCCAGAGTTTACAGCTCTCAAAGTAAACGCAAAATTCTTCAGAAGTGCTCATTTAATACTAGAAAGCTAAAATCCAGTGGTCTCTCCATGCGGTCATCCTTTCCTTATCAGCTGTAGCACAGGCCAATTACTACTTCTGCCTGTTACAGAGCATTGCTCACTCCTCAATGCTTTTGGAAGTCATTGAGGCAAAACTGGCCTTCTGCTCATTGACTACTGAGCCACAGCCATCCTTGAAAAGCCCCTCCTTCCCTAACAGAGAAATAATCACCAATAGTCCTGCCTATACGTTACCCAAGTCTTTTAGCTTCCAATTCACTGAACAGTTCCTCTCCTAACAGATTCAGGCCCAGGTGAGTGTGGTGGTTGAGATGATCCCATTCTTCCTTGACAGAAACCCCCTCCCACACCCATAGGCGCTTCCTCCTTCTGCCAAAACAAACTTTATTGCACCAAAAAAAAGAACAAAAAATTTTCATTTATGTACAGTCAGATATAAAGACATCTCTTTTCACTCCTGTGCATATATTTCCTCAACTCAAGATTAGGGCGTAAAAGTCAGGCCACTATGCCAGACATGCTCTGCCCCATGGCAGGGCCAAGGAGAAGATTGTCACTTCAAAGTGGGAACACTTAGATGGATAACAGACAATACTGGACCCACAAACCAAGGGCATTCTTCTCGGCCCTGGACTAGCTCTGGGAATGGAAGAGGAGGGACATTGGAAGCAGGGTCCCTTTGAGTCTCCATGTTGAGACCTATTCTTCAGACAGCCAAGATAAACTTCTGTTCCCCAAGTGTACCACTCCCTCCCCAGTTCCTCTTCCTGCCCTTTAGGAAGCTCTTCTTTTGTGCCCCATTTTCCTCCCCCACTGTCCCCCCCAGGGGAGTCCCATGATCCATCAGGCAGAGACCTTAAAAGCAGTGGGTAGGGCAGATACACCTTATCCTCTCTTCTGCCTGTGGCTGGATACTGACTGGGCCCTGTTTCACATGGATCACCAACACTCCATGGGGGTCCATAACAGCAAGAATCTGGAAGTAGGGGAAGAACATATCAAAAAGGGGAAGGAGAAATTCCCTTGATGCCCAGTATTATTGGGCGCCTAGAACACTTTTCTGAGCCAACCAGTTAAAGGATCACTGCAGCTAAAATACAAATAGAGAAGCAACATAGCCAGGCAAACACCCATCAGAGCCAGTGACAAAGAGCAGCTGGGAGGGGGAGGGGAGAGAGGGGAAGGAGTCTCTAGAGTCCCAGCCCAGATCCCCTTCTGCCATTGGCTACTCCTGCTCCCTGGGGGTTGAAGTGAGGTAGGGGACTACAGACTGGGGTGAAAATACACAGGTCAGCCAAACAAAATGCAAGAAGGACTAGCATCAGTCTCCCCTGTTTACCCCACCCCCAAGAAAAAATATCCTCATTGTGACTAGTACTTAAGAAAATCTTTAAGAGACTATTCTATGTAGTGGCTCTAATCCCATACACACTGCAGCTGCCTGTGTTGGGAACTTTTCAAATCAGTGATTGTGGGAACACACAGTACTTCCGGCTTCTCACGGTGCCTGTGCAGGCTTCACCAAGACCTGGTTCAGTCCTGGTCCTGTTTACCTTCTGTCTGAAACCTAAAAGAGCAAGGGAACGAGGGGTAGGGGAAAAAGGTGCTCAGGTGCTAGGTAAAGCTTACTGATCAGCAGCCTAGACTCCACCACTGTTCCTTCTCTTTGGTCTGTCTAGAACAGTGACTATAAATTAGTAAAACAAAATTATGCTGGCCCGTGGGAGATAAAGGGGCAGGGGGGCAGGGAGGAAAAGGGCAATGGGAAGCCCTGCTTCAAGACTGAAGACAGACACAGACAACCACCCAGACTGCTTAAGTGTCACAAACAGCCCCCTACCCCAAAGTTTCCTTCCAGATACCCCCATAAATCATTTGGGCACATTCCCTCTTGGAACTGAAATTTGTCTTTAAACCCTAAGAAGCTGGCCTTGCAGAGAGGTGTGTTTGTTGTTTTGTTTTGCCAGAGGCCCTTGTCATAGATGATCCTGTAAAGGTACCTTGGCCCTGATCCAAGATGAACACAGCCCCAGGTGCTCCAGCGCCAAGGAGGTCAGATTGGAATAGCCCCCCACTCCCACACCCTGGGATCCAAGCTTGCTTCTTGCCATCTTGCAGAATGACGTCACGTTTGGAGGGAGATACACAGTGCCTCTCCATCCCTGGGGTGGGGGGAAGGGACTCTGCTGGGGAGAGGGGAGGGGGAGCAGGGTCTAAACCCTCAGGCTCCCGTGCAGATCTGTCTCTGTCCCAGAAGAGCTGCTATCAGAGTCCATTTCGGCGTTCTCATTGTGGAGCCTCTCCAGCACTTTCTGACGAATCAGTCCCAGGCGCATCAAGAGGGACTGGTAGTCAAAGTGGCCCCGCTTCTCTCCAAAAGGGTCCTGTGGGGAAAGGAGACGGGGATGGAAGATCCAAGTCTGGGTGGCTCAGCCTGGAGACCAGTTTTGGGCCCATGTGAAATGCAAACTCACCTTCTGAGTCATGAGAACAGAGGAGGGCACTGTGCAGTACAGGGAGACCCAAACAGTCCTAAATGCTATGGCATGTTTATTACCCAAATAGATCTAGCCTGGGCTGACATTAAAATGTGTTTGCAGGGGGCTGGGGTTGTGGCTCAGAGGTAGAGCACTCTCCTAGCATGAGTGAGGCACTGGGTTCGATCCTCAGCACCACATAAAACCAAAGGGGGAACAACTATCTTTCATTCCCTATAGTCAAAAACGACACTTTGTGGTGGGCACAGTGGCATGCATGCCTGCAATCCCTTGAGGCTAAGGCAGGAGGATCAAGTTCAAGACCAGTCTCAGTAACTTAGACCCTCAGTGGGTAAGCACCCCTAGGGGTGTGTATGTAAAAGGACTGGTGATGGGCGCAGTGATAAAATATGCCCCTGGGTTCAATTCCCAGTTAAAAATAAAAAAGGCAGGTCTAGAATTTAATAAGAGTTCTGACTTCCAGATAAGCACAGGTACTCTTCCCCAGAGACTCGTCAGTACATTCCTGTCAAGGTTTCTGGGCATCACTCCAGGGCCACCCAGTCCTTGTCATTCTAGATCAAAGATCTCTAAACACTTCATAGAAAGGTTTAACTGTCCTCAAAGTCTCAAAAATAATATGGTTAGAACAAAGGACATAAATGTGTGTGTACACACACACACACACACACACACACGAGTTTAAAATGCTGTAGAGGGACTTTGGCAGCAAAATAGTATGACTAGGGTTTAAATACTTATCTTCTTTGGTAGTCAAAAAGGTTACAAAATTCCTGTTTTCTCCTCTCACAAAAATCCCTCCCCCCCTTTTTTTTGGTGGCACTAGGGATTGAACACAGAGCTTCATACATGCTACTCAAGTGCTCTACCACTGAGTTACACCCCAGGTCCTATTCCCACATTTCTGTCCTATACATTACCCTCACAGCAGGGTACCATTGGGTAATAGTTACAGTAACTATGACCATAGCCCACCTTTACACTCATGAAGGTTATATTACTCAAAGGCAAAGTTCCACTCTTATGCTGGATCTGTCAATTCTCCACATCTTTCTTCTTTTGTCTTTGATTCCATTTCCCCCCATTCCCTTCCTCCCCAGATACGGGCCCTCCTATCCCATTCCTCATCAAAAGCTGTTTTTCCTTCAGAAATTGAAGGTTGGTAATGTTGCTGGACATCAGTAATGAGAACTCCTAATGGGGAACAAACTAGGGCAGACATCATAGTATATTCTCAAAAAAGGTTCAAGAAATGTGTTAACTCTGAACCTGCTTTGTCCTTTGCACTTAAGTAAGGTAGGTGAGTGGGAAGACCTTGAAAGCAGAATAGGGGAGCTACAATCTATGAGCAGCACTGAGGAAACAAGACATCTACTTCTACTTTTGTTAGTTGGTGTAGTGGGTAGAAACAGCACAAAGCTGGAGAAAGCCTAAGAGATCTTAGTTACCCAAGTCATCCATTTCTAAGCAAGGCCACTACTGAATGACCCAAAGACACAAGAAATGCTGCTACAGGCAGGAGGGTTCTCACTCTCTTACCCACCAGGTGACTGCATCTATTATTTGATCAGTGAGAATCTCTTCATTAAAACAAGCCTGAATCTGCA